ATCAGCCTATTTTTCAGTGTAGTCCTGTTTCTCTGGCTGTGACTAACTGGATGTGCTCTTTTCAACCTCTGAAATGGGAACTGGCTCAGAGCTCGTCTGCCTGATTGGTTGTTTCCTGTATGGGGCCGCCTGTGGAGCTGGTTGGCAGATCCATTTTGCATCCGTTTTCCTTTTTGTATCTCTGCTTCTGTCTCCTTGAACCCCAGTCGGCTTCGGCAGATGGCCGCTCACACTGAGCCTGGTTCTGCGGGAGGTTTCTTCCTGTTAAAAGGGAGTTTTTCCTCTTCACTTTCACTACAAGCATGCTTAGTTGCCTTTGAGTCGATATGTCGATGCAATCAACTGGTTTTCCTTAAACAGAAAACTTTGAATCAATCTGACTGTATGATCTGGTCAAACTGTGAAGTGTTTTTTTTTATAATGGAGAGTGTTCCAGCTGAAACAGGCACAGCCATGTTTGTTTTGCCTTTAGCATTTGGTTGGTTGAAGCATCAACGTCATACACATTACCGCATTTCATTGGTCTGAAACATTTCTCTATCCAGACAAATGCCTCTGCTGGCTCCCAGCAAGATACTTTTTCAATAGGTTGTGAATTCACCAATCTCACAACATTTCATCTTGCTTACAAGGTAATGAAGAACCAGCTTTGGTTGCAGCCTTTTTGACGTATGGCTCTAACACATTGGCACGTCTAAAGATTGGATTTTTTTCCTCCATCTTTTATTATTTTTTTGTAAAATATCCTTTCCTGTAGATTCTCAATTGGATGTATGTACAGCCTTTGACTAAGACATTCTAATAAATGACATGCCTACATCTAAACCAGGGATGCACACATCCACATTTCCACCTCTGATCTAATGCAGGAACCTAAATTTGGATATCAGCAGATCCTGATATCGAAACTTTAATTTATTTGTTTGAAGCTAAAGTTATTTCCTTTATGCAATTCCACTTATTTTTTTGTGTTCTTAATCCTAATTACAGAATTTTGAGTCATGTAAACTAGGGATCATAAATGTTTATTTATTTTTCTCTTAAGCTACCCATCTCATCTGAGTGCAAAGAGTTCCTTCGTATTTTAGCACAACTTAGGTGAACTGGCTTGACACTGATTCAGGATTTTCTGGAACAATGCCAATAATATTATATCTGATTAGTGCATCTAACTACATTTTATTAGCCTGGAAAACTGGTTCAGCCTTTCTGGCACTAAACTGAACTGGATTAAATTCTACTTGAAGCACGTTTGCATCGGGGCCACAAAAATCCCACATGGCGTTCCCCAAGGATCCATCTTAGGGCCCCTCCTAGCTGATATCTACATGCTCTCCCTAACTCAGATCTTAATAAGGAATAACGTAAGTCAGCGTCACTATGCTGACGACACCCAGCTGTACATCACCATGTCTCCAGGTCACTATGAACTCATTCCAGCTCTGGGTTAATTCAGAGAAGAAATCAACGCATGGATGGGACAGAATGTTCTTCAGGTGAATCAAAACAGGAGTAAAGCAATGTTTTTTTTTTTTTACTAAGTCAGTTTAAAAGTTAGCACAGAGCTTCAGTTAATCCAGTTAGAAAGCAGCAATCAGGCATCAAATCTGGGTGTAGTGATGAACTCAGACCTGAATCTTCAAAGGCTCATAAAGTTCCTCCATCACCTGAGGAACATCTTCAGGATGGAGGACCAATGTCTCAGAAAGACCTTGGAAAACTGATTCCAGCTTTGTTCATCTTTAGCAGAGCAGCAGTGTTTTTCACAGCTCTGCCTTAAAGTGGACCACACAGCTGCAGTTGATCCAGAATGCTGCTGCCTGCATCCTCACTAGAGCCAAAAGTAGAACACATCAGCCCAGTTCTAAAGTCCTTCCACTGGCTCCACGTATTTCAGAGAATAAACTTTAAAACACTTCTGTTGGTCTATCAATCCCTCAATGGCTTAGCTCCAAACTACATTTGATACTTGCTGTCAGTGGATCAACAGCCAGAGCATTAATAATTAGGTTTTGTGGATAAGACCTACTTTGCAAACCTAGAACTAAACATGGAGAAGCAGCTTTTAGTTCCTATTATTCACTAAACTGTAATAAACTCCCAGAAAACTAAAATCACTGAAACCTTAAATTGCTTTAAATTGAATTACTTCTTTAGAGCAGCCTTTGACTGAACTTTCTAAAGCTTATTAGCTTTCAGTCCAACTTTCCTTTCTCAATATTTTTTTTTATCATCTTATTTTAATTATTTACTATATTTAAGTCGCCTTTATGCTGTAACAGTATACGTTTCATTTTCTAACGTACAGCACCTTGCCAATGAGGCCGACTGATTACTGAGGTTAGCTGCACTGCTGGAAGGTGAACCCTGGTCATCCTCTAACAGGTTTCTTTCTCCATTGCTTTGTATTTAAGTCCTGTTTATCTTCCTCCTCCGTGCCGAAGAAAAGCACCCACACATGATGCACAATGCCCAATGTTGGGATGGTGCATACAGGATGGCGTCTAGTGCTAGTTTTCCTCTTCTAACCAAATTATTGAAGGAAAGAAAGCTTAAAATTGGTCTCATCTAAGCAAAGTTTCTTCAGCCACATATTTGTTGTTTCTAATTGTGGCAAACTGCATAAATACATTCTTTGGCTTGTTTTTTTTAAACTCTGCATGTTACAATGTGTGCGTTTGTGTTTTCTTACCTGTGCACAATGCTGTGGTAACCGGGGGCGATATCGTCTGACACAGGCTGCAGGAAGACGCTGGCGTACCTGTGATTGTGGGAAGATTTAAGAAATAGGGATTGAATAATCTTGCTAACTGGGAGATAACAGAGGCGTATGATGAGCAGCAAAGAGAGATTATGTTTTTATGCTTTCCAAGAAGCATCACCTGTGATTGGCTGCAGCTCTCCACACAAGCATGATGGCTTTCTTCCAGATCTTCTGCGCCTGGACGGCCTCCTGGTCCTCTCCACATGTGGAGCTGATTCACATGGAAGAGAAGATTAGAGAGAGAGGCCATGTGGTTCACTGTGTTTGCAGCAGTTAGTTTAATCTAAAAAAAGCATAAAGCTGCTTTAAACATCAAACATAATTTAAAATTATTTTAAATTAAACCAGAAACCTACAGCTGGGAGGAGGAGGCCGGGCTGCTGGCCAGTGAATCCACGGTGTAGCGCTGGGAGGGCGGACCGTAGCCGTCCTCGCTCTCGCTGGCGGCCCGCTCCACCTCTGACAGGTAGGGACCGTCCCCCTCCCCGCAGTCCTCCTTCAGCTCCATCCCTTCATCGGGGTCAGCCTCACTGCCCCCCTCCTCTTCCTTCACCTCCTGAAGTCGACAGAAAGCAAAGGGAGTTAAACTTTCCACCGTGATGAATCGCTGTCCAGCAGGTGTCGGTTTCTTCCTGGTTACCTTGGACTCCTTCCCTGAAACAGAACTGTCCTCTGAGTCTGAACAAGGATAAAAAGAATTAGAGACAAAATAAGGATTATTTCTGTGCATGAATGAGCAGGTGTGTGTCCGCCCCCACCGAGACATGGAGGGTTGGCCTCAGTCTGGCTCCAGTCCTCTCCTTCACTCTTCACCGCAGCGTCTGCAGCCTCCTTCACTGCAGCCCCCTCCTCTGCCACTTCACACCCAGCCGCGCCGTCGTCGGAAGCGACCGAGGAGGTGACGTCGCTTCCCGCCACCTCGGCGCCTTCCCCGCTCCCCTTGAACTGTTCTTCTCTTTTAACGTCCGGCTGGTTCTGTGTCTCCTGATTGCTGCTGGAGGACGGGGTCAGCATGCTGGGAACATCCTGATGCTCCTGCTGGACGGGGGGTTCTGAAGGCTTCAGCTCCTGGGTCTCCCACGGCCCGGGGAGGGTGTGGCCTTCGGAAACCGCTTCCTCGCAGAGAGATAGAGCCGCCTCCACGGCAGCTGCGTCTAAAGCTTCAACGGAGTCGTCCACCTGGAGGGAGGGACAGAAAACAGGATGAATCACTTGGAAAAAGCAGCGACACGCTACAGTATTAAGAAGGTTTTAACATGTCGCCCCATTGCAAACAGAAACATTTCATGAGATAAACCAACAGGAAGAAGAAACAATATAGCTTAAAAAGGGACGCAGACATGTTAGGTGCCCATTACTCTGATAGCCATAAATAAAATCAACTACAGGTTCAACTACCACTTGATTTCAGTGTAATTTACTTGGCCAATCTACCATGTGAATTAAAAAGAAAGATGTATATTTATTACAAATATTGCTAGAATGTAGTAAAAAGACATCAACTACTGAAGACTGGATAGGAATAATAAAAGAAACTCATGACATGGAAAGCGACTTTTTCTTAAACACACCTAGGAGCTAAATTGTAAAAAATATTTTAGTTTTTTCTTCTTTTTCTGAAATGACCACCTTGTTTTATTTTAATCACATATTCCAAATATCTTTGATGATCAGATCAACAGTTAACTATGTTAAAGGAGGTTTTAATTTAGCTGAGATGATGTCTATTTGTAGCCCCGGCTTGATGACTCTAATGTTTCGCATTTATATTAAGTTCTGTAAAGTTAATGTGAAAACTACAGAAATAAAATAAAATAAATAGTTAAGGCCAAAGCACAGGTAAGTAAATGAAAGTAAATGATGAAGCTCCAACAGGACTCACTGATCAAAGATCACATTAAAAGCAAACAACATCCAAACCCTTCGTTTGAGATGAACCACTGCTTTAACATTCAGCGTCAAGGTTAGGGCTGGGCGATATAGAAAAAAAGCTTATCGATTAAACTAAAAATGCATATTGATCGATATCGATAATTATTGAAAAGATTTGAAACCATATTTTATGTGCAGCTCTACCTGGACTTTTTATGATATTGATAAATGATTTAATTTTAATAATGAAACACAAACACAGACCTCCAATTAAATCTTTATTTAACCAACTTTCTTAACCATAACAGAATTGTTTTAAGGAAAAATAACTTAAAAGACCTGAGTTATGTTATTAAATACTGACAAAGAATAAACTAAAGTGACCAGAAAAGTGACCAAAATAAATATAACAAATACATAAATAAATTTTTACCGAACTTTTATCGACCTGCTTTTTTTCTATTGCGCCACACATCTATCGATCGATATATATCGTTACTGAATTATCGCCCAGCCCTAATCAAGGTCATGAACAAAAATAAAATACCTTCTCCTCTATGATGGCAATGATGTCGCCCACAGTCTCCAGGTCCAGCTCATCTCCCATGTAGGAAACAGCTACAAGATCCTCCTCAGCCAGCCCCGTCTCCTCACCGAGTTCTGCCTTCACCGCAGCTTCAGCATCGCCCTCTGCAAACCCACATGAGAAGGTCAGCTTCGCTCCACATACAGTCACATCCTAGTTCTCCATTTATTTAAAATTCCTCTTTCATTTCCAATTTAACCCACTTGATTTATGAAGTACCCTGAAGCTGTAGGGAAGCGGCTGTTCCAACCGTTGCATTTCCGAATTCTCCCGAGTGATGCACGACTTTGCATGAGTGAATAAAGTGAATGT